ACGATTGCCTCAGTCTTCCCAAAACCCTATGAAGAAAAAAAAAAAACCCAATTCTCTCTCCTTTTTCTCCTTCTCAAAGCATGAAGCTAGCTCTCCGATCCTTCTAAAAAAAAACTTATTCTCTCCTTTCATTTCTTAACCTATCCTCCCTTTTAACCCTAATTCTCTCTTCTTTCAAACCCTAGCCTCTGAATTTCTTCAATCTTCCATCTTGGATCCGGAATTGGCTGCGCTGTCAGAGTTCTCTCTTCCGTTTTTACCTTTAAGAGATCCTTTTATCTAAAACAACGTTCTCTGAAACGGCACAGAGAATACGACAGCCTGAAACAGAATCGAAATCCTGTAATCGGGACCACATTAAGTCACTCAACCAATTCAGGTCTCATATTGGGTAAGAGGCCCGTAATAACCTGGATGTTCCCGTAATTGGACCGCATTGGGTTGCCCGACCAATTCAGGTCTCATATTGGATAAGACCTAGATTGGATGTCTTGAAATTGGATCCAATTAGCTCTTCAAACCAGGCTCACCCGTCGTTGAATTGGTCCTTTCCCTTCCTGGTGACTCCCATTATTGGAATCGAATGGAGCATTTCAGTATGCCCCAGCTGATTGTAACGGGGTGACTGAACCTAGCTTCTCAGTATTTGCACTAAAATTGGTCGTTCCTCCTAATATTCGAGGTAACTGAACATTAATAAAAGTCCGCTTTCTTTATATTTTCACAGTATACTTGTGTTACAACACGACAACGGTCCCTATTCTAGCTGAACAAACTCGTTTTCTGACATATTGTCTTCTTTTACAGCCATACTCCTCATTTTGTGATTACGTCATTTCTTTGGACAATGTTGAGCAGTGTGCTTTGATTCTCCACACTATAAACATAATCCTTCTTGACGACGACGAGTCTTTTCTTGCTCAGTAAGAGGTTTGAAATGTACTGCATCAATTTCCATATCCTCTACTTCCGAATGTATGTGTTGAAGAGGTGTTGATGTTGCCATTGAATTATAGTAACGTTGAGGTCGGTTCTCAGATTGGAATTCAAAAAGGTGAATATCGTACTTCACAGCAAAGTGAATTGCTTGACTCAATGTTTGAGGATCAGATAAGTTGAGCATTAATTTTTTTACCTCATATTGTAATCCGTAGAGAAATTGGCTAATAAGTGCAGCATCATCCCACTTGATATCAGTTGCAAGTTGTCAAAATTGTGAAACATACAACGTTACTGATCGATTGCCTTACTATAAAATACGGATCTTATTGGTTGCAACACGAATTGCATCATGTTCTCCATACATGGATCGAAATTCGACCAAAAAAGCCTCTAGATTATCTAATATTGGATCTTGTTGTTCATGAAAAGATGAAAACCACAATAGTGCTGAACCTAAAAGAAGCGTATCAATCAATCTAACTTGTGATCTTGGAGTTGGATAGCTTTGGGGTTGAAGTTCAATCACAAATTGCACTTGATTGATAAATCCTCAAAACTTGGATCTGGTGCCATCAAACTTCTCGGGTAGGATAATTCTTGGTTCTCTAATACTGGAAGGGCGTTCCATCATAAGAGATAGGACATGATTTGGTGCAGATGTTGAAGCAGCTCCAATCATTTCTATATCTTCACTTCCTGCCAATCTTGTTGCTTCTTCTGGTGGTAAATTGAGTTGATACATTGCAAGCATTAACTCTCTCAATTGTTCTTGCATTTGTGCCATTGCACTCTTCATTTCAACAAGTTCTGCCATGATAACACTTAGAAAAGAGAAGATGTCTAATATCGCTCAAGACAAATAGAAGAGAGGACTTGAGAACAAAGAAAATACTAAGGACAATATCAGTTTAGAAGAGGGTAATCCACAACTTCTAATATGCTTATATCTTATCAAAAAAAGAGGTAACCGACTCTTAATCAAGATTAGACAAAGCTCTAATATTATAGGTGTACTCTTGTCAATCTGTCAAGGACAAGAACTCGATAAAAAAGAAATTCAGACAAGTGAGCCTTTACTCAAAGAAAAGTAACAAAATATAAATAAATAAGTATGTATATTGAAAGAGAAACTGGAATGGCTATTGCCAAAAGACAAGAAAACTAGAGACCCTTGAAACTAGACTAGAACCAAGAAAAGAGTTGACAAGAGTGAAGAGGGCTTTACTCTTATCTCTATATATACTATCTAACTAGGGGCTACATGGCGACGTTCTATAGGACCTCCAATATGTGTTGACTTTGTAGGACACATGCCTTAACTTACAAGGCAAGTTTTTCTACGTGTAGGCCACATAGTTAGCTTGAACTTCAAGCTAACAACATGTGTGGCACATGGCCAACTTGTTGACCACGTTTCTAATCCAAAAGGTCAATTAATGACACCTATGAAGTCAAAGCAACATCTATGAAGCTTCTAAGAAGCTTGCATATTAAATACTATAGAATTAACTTATTTTTATTTACTTTTACTTACTTCCACCTATTTGTATATATAATTACTAGCTTACATGAGTATGTCTGTGACATAACATTAGTTTAAAGTAGTATACAAATAAATCTTTAGAAACAAAATTGATCAAGCATATTGTCAACATTTATGGAATGACAAACTTTTAACATATCTAATTTTACCACCTTGCTATTGATGTTGTGAGCCTCTTATTTTTGACCCAGAAAAAATGATAGAAGGGAATAAAGCAAATGTGTGCTCTTGTAGATTATAATAGAAGGCATGCAGTAAAAACAATGTTGATAGAAATAATGATACACCAATTTGTGGTCTCGGTCACTATTGGGCAACAACTTCACTCCACATTTCTTCTTTTGTTTTTGCTTTTATTTTTTGTGGATTTCAATGTATCACATTATTTAGTTCAAATTGCTATGCATCTACATGAACCAAGAATCAAGTTATTTGATGCATATACACTCTTTTTTACATTAAATTTTTATTTCAAACTCGTTGCATATACTTTAATTTGAATAAAATATTAGCCAATCTAGCTCATTAAAGGCAACAATCTTTCACAATCTCATCACAACTTTCAATTCTCACAAATAAATCTAATTTTAATTTCTCTTAAAAATAGTCTTTATTAGACATTACATTACAAGTATCACAAAAATTTCACATTTATAGAACTATGAAATACTATAGATGAACTCGATTTATTTTGATGAGAAATAAAAGTATAAAGAAAGCATTACCATAGTCCTTAATTGAAGGACAATATAATGGTTGACGTAAATGATCTCTGACATTATACACTGTAATGCCACATATCATAAACATGATATAATATTTAAATTTCTTACTGGATATAACCATTTAAACTTTGATATGATTGCAAATTGTTCTTTTGCCAAATTCAAAAAGAAATTTCATGTTCTGTTAAGTTCTCATGAATTACATGAAAGAAAAATGCATGCATCTAATGAAATTATTGTTTTATCCATGCAAGACATTGATGAATCCATTCATTTTCACTTCAAATTTTCTTTCAAATTCAAGACAATGTTAAGTTTTTTGATGAAAACCAAGAGGGATGCATGTAATGAATGAGAGCCACTACATGTCTTATTGAGCAATCTTAATATATAGATTCTTATAAAAATAAACATATTTTTTATATTCAAGAATAATTTCTATTTTTTTATATTCTTAAAATATAATATTATTATATGTAGCAATCAATGATTTGTGTATTTTTTATAAAAATTAAAATTAAAATTAAAATTGAATGTTACATATTTTAAATCATATATTAAAAATATTTTCTAAAATTTATTTAATTATAAAACGTAAGTATCTTTTATTTTATGGTAGTAATTAAATTTAGTGTAGTATTAAAAAAAGCACATATTTTTTTAGTTCTTAATTACATGGATTTTTCTAATAAATTTTTAATATTTTTAAGCACTAATTTAGTTTATTAAGCACTACTTAGTAGAACTGCAAAATGAACACCCCTCTTTATTTATTTACTTTGTTTAGTTATTTTTTTATTTATTTTTTTATTTGGTATTCTTACATTATAGGTTATTGTTCTTTTGTTATTATTATAGTGTCCTTTACTCTCACTAGAACCCAACTTATTAAAAAACATGTAGAGAAAAAAATAAAATAAAAATAAAAATCCTCGCTACACTACCAACCTTATCACAACACATAAAGTTTAATTTGAAACTGCGAATGTGCATTTCATTGAAATAGTAGTAACGAAGCAATGAGCAAAGGGAGAATTCAACTGCAGTGGGAACGGTGCTCCCCACGCCTCGTCACGAACCACAGTGGCGTCGGTGTGCGTGCGGTGGTGTGCTGACGTGGAAATGCGTGCGTGGCATCGCCGACGTGGATGGGGGGGTATGGGTAGAGAGTGCACTGGGCAGAGGAGGATGTGGGGGATGCGGGATATGGCGGGACCCTTCAGAATCACCGCCAAAATTAGCAAAGCTTGATTGAAAAGTAAAGCGTAGACCACATGTGAGGCCCAAAGCGGGAGTTAGAGGAGGAAGAGTAGAGTGAAGACCCTCTTGATATTATATCTGGTCCCTCGCCAAAGATAAGAAGATGAAACAGAAGGAGACCCCACCCCCCGCTACTTATGAGGAGGTGGCCAACTTACACCCCAACTGCCTCTCCCCCATTCCCAGGACCAGATATAATTACTACCCCATTCATTAAAATGAAAAAAAAAAAAAAAAAAAAAAAAAAAAATCCAAATGAAAAATCCACTATTTTTCATCATCACTTCTGGTCCCTCTTCCAGGGGGAAGGCCCAATCAATACCCCCAAATATATACTCCATATTTGAAACCACCGCTGTGTGAACGAGGTTTCCGGAACTGAGCACATTGGAAGATCGAACGAACGAAAAATGTCGACGAAATCTGAACCAAAAGGGAAGTTTCGTCGGATGGAAGACGAAATTCGTCGTTTTACCCCGACGCGACGCAAGGCCGCGTTGAGCTTGGAAGGCTTGAGGTGAGTGTGTTGTGCGCGCTGCAGGGAGCAGGAAGCAGGGCGATCAATCATCAGGGCTCATTTCCGCGCCTGGTGATCCTCTGTCGCGACGTGGATCCGGCGTATCCGGTAGCCCTGGTCGAGCTGGCCACATAAACCCCCTGGATCGAGGCAAACGGAGCTTTGTTCACTTCGCGCGATGTATAAATCCAACTGTTGGGTTGCTTGTTGTTTGCGGTGAAGCACGCTGTTGTGGGGGATGCTGGAATGAGTGCCGGTGCGGCTTTCGATGAGTGTTTGAGTGTACTGTTTGTGATTCTTGGGTTTTTGGGTCCGTGGGGGTTTATTCGCGACGTGAATCCGAGTGTCGTGCGGGAATTAGGCAATGTAGACGTGGTTTGGGAGTGCTTCGAGGTGGGTGTGGATCCAATGCGGTGGTGCGGCGCTCGCAGGAGGAGGGTGTTGTCGTTGTTGTTGTTGTTGGTAGTGTTAATATAGTGATTGCAGATCGACTCTTGAGGTATTGGCGATTTTGGCTGAGAGCATTGGGACTCATCTGGGAGCTGCAAGCTACACCAAATGGAATCGTCGTTGATATTGAAGGCTAAATCAGGTATTCGCGCGTTCGTTGCGCATCGCGTATCCTTTTGGATTACGCGCATTCTGTGGGTATAAATCGAGCTTCTTTTTAGGTTCGGTTTGTGTCGCGCTTGGACGAATGCTGCCGCTAGGCTTTAGATTTTACGTGTATGAGACAGATCAGCTTCTCGTACTTGGTAGCTTTGGATCATTGAAGTCACGATGCATCATTTTGAGAAAATATCCACAATGTGTGAATCCAAGGGGTGGCACAGGTAGGGACTACAGTTGCTTAGAGATCGCCTGCGTGGTTTCTTTCAGAAGAATGAATGTCTGCTTTACGACCTGATTGGGTCTTGTCAGACTTTAGATTGATAGCTTAGTTAGTCGCTGTTCTCGGGCTCGTCTGAGCAGGGCACGATGCAAGCTTAGATTAAGAGTGAGAGTGGTTCTCATGTTTTTAGAATTGTTTTTTTGTTTTTCGTTTTTTTTATCAATCTCTCGAAAAGTGAACTAAGAATGTCATAACTTGACACAATATTGGTGATGGTTGGCAGCTTTGCAGAATGTAGCTGCAAAAGCAGAACGAGTTCTCACTGAAATCAAGGCTGATATCAAAGCGGATTTTGGCGGGCCTCCCACTCCGGATGGCACTACGTGGACCAATGGGAGATATATTCATGGTGAGCGCACTGAATCCGCTTTATTCTAAATTATATTTAATGTAGTTCATCTAGAATGCGGCTTCAAAGTGCTTATGAACACCTCAGCTTACGTTGGGTTTTGAATTTCGCTCTAGTCAATTGATGACTACTACACCCTTGTACTGTCCATTTTGCTTACAATTAAGGCATTCTTGCTTCTAAGCACAGATACAGAATTCAAAGCAGAGTACCCTTGGAGTGCCAAGAATGATAGTGAGAAACGGTACGAAGTTGAGTTCAAGAGACGCATTCTTGACTTGTCCAAGGTCAGTAAGAGCAGGAATGTCATTCAAAAGGATATTCCAAATGCAAATTGAATACAGGTCCGAGTGGATATGCAGTGTCTTGCGCTTTTGTTCTCAGGAGGTTTGTATGAATTGAAGAGAAACAATGAATCTCGGGTCTTTGGCTGTTAATTTGAAACACCTACAACTTGTTTTAAATTAAGTTGATTTTATTATCTGTGATTGATTGGAATTTGCTTTTAACCGTAGAAACCGGAAGATTTTCTGGAAGGGGTCGATGATGACCTTGAATCTATCGACATGCAAACTGCAATGATATATGTTGGAAACGTCCTGGAGGTATTTGTTCTTTTGCCAATCGTTCACTTGCTGGTTTGCTGAAAATGCTTTGGAACGGGTCCCTTTCCATCAATTCGATGAGTTTATGTAGTCTGAAACTTGTCTGCTTCTCACTGCTCCTACTTGCAGTTTGATGAAGAGTTGAAAGAACTTTGGTTTCAATACGTGCCAAAGAAAATGAAGGAGCTCGAGTTCTGGCGCCGATATTTCATTGCCGTCAAGCGTGTTCGACAGGAGATAATAGATGCAGACTCCAACAATTATGTGCGCATGAGTTGGTCAAGTATTGAACGCAGATTGACCTTTGGAGGCACGTTCAATGAGGTAATTGTTACGTAATAGCTTGACAACTTGAAGTTGTCGCAAACCTCAGTGGAGGTTTGCGTCGTGAATGCATATATTTTAAGTAGACATATTCGGACATATTTTTGCATGGGTTTTATTTATTAGTTTTTCATTTTTAATAACATTAAGGAACTACTATTTTTGTACACGCCCTGTATAAAGTCAAACACGCTCTTACTTGGAATGCTGTTCCTGCAGAGCCTGTGGAGGGATCCGATTGAAGAGGAAGCTGACAGCGAAGCAGTTTCTGTCACTAGTATTCCTCAATCCGTGATCATTCGACGCCTAGCAGCTGCCATCGAGTAAGCATTTTGGTCGTAATGAATCTGTAACTAGTACATAGTGCTGGTTAATGCACCCAGTAGACAGCGCAGCTACTGACGATTTGTGTTTCTTACATTTACTGTTTATATTCGCCTAGGTTTTAGTGAACTGTGTGTTTGCTGTAGACCTTATGCCTATTTTCTTTCTAGGTAATCTAAGTAATTTTCTTCGATCAACTACTTTGAATTCCTTCCAAATTCAATTGAATCTGGCATTATGTCTTCGTATGTCCTTAAGCTATTGAGATGCCAGGTGCGATTGAGAAATGCGAACATCGTCCTTTGTCAGTTATCTTGTGGACAATGCAAGCGAGTTTTTTTTATTGCTTTGTTGACATAAATCTGAACGTTGGTGGATTTGACAACACAGGACTGGTAGATCGGCAAAGAGTATGCAAGAATTAGTAATTCAAGGTGGACGACTTTTGGACAAGGATGTTTTACCCAGTAATGGCGATTGGTCTGGTATTGTCTCAGGCTTTGCTGCTATGAGACGGTTGAGTGCCGGTCGTGGCAAGGACAGCAAATCAAGATTCTCAAAGACTACCAGTCTTGGAGATTACCATACCTTGCTGTGGTCACTTTTTGATGCAGGTGTGTCTTATCTTGCTTCATGCGCTGAATGTGAGCATTTTATTATTTTTTCTTACATTTTGGTATGTCACGTTTTGATGTTTGAATTGTCACATGAACCAGCAATAGAAAACAAGAATTTCCAAAGACCTGTCCTCACCTTCTGTTCAGGTTGCATCTGTTAATCCAAATTTCCTTTTCATTGTTGTGACCACTTAGCTTTGTCAACTGCAGATACCCAGCACGAGGATCAGGTAGACAAGAAATTATCATTCACCGCTAGTCCGAACCTTCCGAGAGATATTCATGGAGCCCCGCCAGAGAGCTTTGTTGCACGGCTAGCTGAAATTATGGCTGAAATCAAAACTGAGCAAGGCATGGGGGAGTTTTGGCTAGAAGTAATAAAAGAGGTACTACCTCCTACTACATTCTGGTCAAATGTAGTTTGTTATAAATATGTTTAGTGATGTTGCTATCAATTGTTAGCGATGTCTTACCGAGTTCCATTTTACTTAAAAAGAAAGCTAACAGACCCTTATGTGCAGCTGCGGCGCCGGTGGAAAGAAGGGGTCCCAATATCTCTTTTGCCAGTTGACGAAAGTCCTGATCTGCGCTACTGCCTGCTTCACCAGCAATTGCAGTTAATAAACTGTTGTATTGCCAGGCGCAAGAAGCGCGCTGCAGATTTAGAATCTCTTGAAATTCTGAACTCTTATTTAGCTCATGAAGATAACTCTTCTGCAGAGAGCACTGATAATCACCTAGCACCTTCTGAAAGCCTTAACATAAAGGCTCCAGTGCTACTCTACGCTAAGTTAAAGACTGGTGAAAAAGTTCTTAGAGTTGGAGCGGACCATCCAGCAGCTGACCTTCTAATGTTGGAGACTGGAGAACCAGTATATTCACCTATTACTCAAGTAAGTCGATGGATTCACCTTTTTGATTTAGTCTCATGATGTTCCGTTTGCTTACGAGGGGAAAAAATCCACTCAGAAGTAAAGCCCATAGTTCTGGTGAAGTACCACAATCTTTGTTCAACGTATTATTCTCTTGCTCTGCAGGATAATCCTATCATGACAGAGGATGCCATAATGGAAGCGGAGGAACTTATTCTTCGCACTAGAAGGTGAGCAGAGAAAGTTACACTCAAACCCAAGACTGTTTTGGCTGTTCTTTAAATACATGTTGAAATGCGTGTTGCATACACATGAGGTCATACAAGGGCTTCCAAATTTCCAACCAACTGACTCCATTATTTTACAGTGTTGGAGCTGGCTGTTCACAGCTTCTATCTGATATGCAAGCCTTCAAGGTAATAGTCAAAGACGTGAAGTTTATTCAATTTCGTCTTTGGAGAGTAGTGAAGGTCGGTATTGCATTATAAGGATGGGTTTCCACAAGTTTGTCTAGAACCAAGTTCTTGTGGATTTACTTACTGAGAGTGGTTTTGATTCTTGTTCAGGCCGCCAATCCTGGATGTATATTGGAAGACTTTGTGCGATGGTACTCCCCTTTGGATTGGAGGGAGGAACCAGGGACTGGCCTTATGTTCCAAGGCAGTGCGGAAAATGCAGGGGAGTATGGAGCTATTCGAGGCTATCTTAGTGCACGCATGCAATGTCAAGGTAGATTTGAATGCTTGATTATTACCAGTGAGAGAACTGTTCCAATTATTTAAAATTTTGACCAGGAAATAGGTAACTTGAAGTCTGTTTAAACTTTGGTTCCACTGTTTTCGGCTATTCCGCCGCTGAGGTTTTCAATCTCTCCTTACATGATTGCAAGTTTTCGGTCCATCTTGGCTGCATTGCTGTGCGTTCCCAATGTCTGGCTATAAAAAAAAGTGGCGTGGCATCGTCACCTGAAAGTAACGTAGTGATGTAAATTTTTAGTCTAAAATACCTACATGATGGAATGTGATAATCAGGGAATTTGTGGCAAGAGCTATGGGCATCCTCCCGACCAGTGCCGGCCCTCAAGCAATCTCCGCTGTTTGATGAGGAACTTGCTGGGTAAGGTTCTCCTGAAGATGGGTACGGGAATTTTTATATATTTATTTCGACAGAATGACGCCAGCGGGCGTTGACTAATATTTGTGAATTGCGTGACTCATTGCGTGAGTTCAGTGGTGGTTGCATATTTGGAATGCCTCTCTTGACTAAGATTCGTATTCTATTGGGTGGTGGTTTTTCCAGTGAGAGCACCCTCGATGTACTGGAAGATGTGGCTCCATCAGATCTTTTTGAGCAACTCTTTCTAGCTGCAGTATGTGCCTATTTCGTAACTTTGATATTGATTTCTTTCAAACCGGTGTATGATTGTAAGTTTCGGTAATTGCATTGCGTATGTAGCTCAGAACATGGGATTCATATCTTACAGAGCCTTGAACATGGCTGCAGAAACTAACATCTCGTCTTTTGCCCCGACAGCTTGGTGCAGGTGTTGCAATTGTAGAGGCCGCTCCTGCAGCCAAAACAGAAACACTTGCAAGATGTTTAAAAGAGTGCACCGAGTATTTGGTGATTACGTGTGAACGGGAAATGAGCTCTTCCAAACTTGAACGTCTCTGTGAGGTAATCACATCTATGCCTGTTTGAATGTCATGATCATGGATTCTTTGAAGTCTCTTTGAATCAGATCACCAGTTAGGCTCGTAGCTGTGGTAGATATTTCTCGAAGTTGGTGTACTGTCAATCTCGCAGTTGTGGAACTTGTAGGAGTGATCTTTACAATATGAATTAGGCTATATCTTTTTTGTCCGTCCAATTTATTCCTTTCCTCTCGGCAGAGCCAAGGAATTCATCACTCCTGGAATATTGGAAGCAGCGAAGATGTTACACAGTTTGCTGAAAACATCAATGACAGATTCACAGCATCTGTGGAAGTGTACACCGTGGAAATCACGTGGTTATCAAGTAACAGTTAATGATATATGTCCAACCATTCGTGCAGGTGTACGAAGATATGGAGTTTGCCCTTCATTTAGCGCAATGCGGATCACCCGTGGAAGCAGAGGCACCTTCCGGACCACCAGGTACCACAGTTGTAACTAATGACGACAGTTATGATTTGCCAGAGCCAATTCCCTTCTTGGAAGCCGAGAAAGTCACATTCCAGAGATCTGTTGATTATCAACAGGCCCAACAATTTGTCAAAACTGACTTTGGACAACTGTTCTCACGGATGTTTGAAGTCAAATCTTCCCTATTTGATAAGAAGCATTTGAGTCCCCTTCATGCCGACGAGGAGAGGAGGCCAGTATCTACTGTTGCAGGAGAGTGCACCTTTGTATAGCTACAGGTTCCTAATTACTTACGTACGCGGACTCTACACAGCTCACAAACTTGAAGTGCACAAGCATCATGTGTGACTTGGAGTCGTTGATTTTGTGGAGTTAATATCTCGAGTAGGAAACAATGAGATGCCCGTATGTGTCTTCTGGCTTTTATCATCTCCAGCCAGATTTAGATAGAATATTGAGAGATGAAGACAGCCGAACAACACTGAAGTGCAAAACTTGGCTGGAAACGTAGGTCCTGTAGGCAGGCTTTGTTTTTACATTCTGCAGTATCCATCCCCCTATATTGCAAGTGTAAATAACCTGGATGTGCATTGTGTAATGTAAAGGAAAAGCCCTCATTTATGAATTTTATTGTGGGTGAACTCTTGCTCCTTTAATCTGCATTGGTTTCCACAGATTGAATCTCTATGTGTTTCAATTAAATTGTTGCTAACAGTGTTCAAATGCCAATAGATGTGTTTCTTACACTGTTCAAATTCTCTAGTTATTAAGTGCGGGGACGTTAGTGAAGTAGGGCTGTTTTGGTCTTCTATTAGATCAACAAAAACTTCACCACCATAGAACAATGACTTATTTTTTCAAATGCCAATTATGCAAATTGACATAGTTATGTCAATTTGTATGACACTTTTTTTTATGTTAAAAAACCAAATCGTAAAACGATTGGTGTTGAGGTTATTGTGACGCTCATTGGTACTTTCCCGATGTAATATGCAATGTCATTGAATCAACTATTGACGTACATGTATTAATTAATTTCTTGCTGTAACATGTGATTGTTCAATTGAATAATTTTGTTATTGTTTCAATAAAGGCATTTGTACTAAGTAAATTTTCTTATGATGTAAGGTTTAATTTTTATTTGTTAAAAAAATCAACACTATTGTTATTATTATTATTATTATTATTTTATTCCAGTACATTTATGAAGTTAACAACAATTTTTTTTGAATTTTTTCAATGTTATTAAGTACCATGCTTGAGGTAGATTTTAATCCACAATACATTTTACTAAATTAATTTTAAGCAGGATTTATTATTACCAGGTTACATAGATTTGTTTTATTTATCTTATAATAATAGCATGTATAAATAAAAGAATTTATTTTTATTTTTTAAAAGTATCTTGGATATATGTCATCTTAGGCATTTGGTTCTTTTCTATAAATACACCTTTTCTTGATTCTTACTTGGTTAATTAAACAATATGAATATCAAATTTAAAGTTCAACCAATGGATATTGTCCAAGGAATTTAAAAAAAAGATACCAATTAAATGTTGATATGGTCGTTTTTTTAATGTTACTAACTGATTTGTTTTTGTAAATTTAATTTTTAAAAGTTCACAAAGTAAGTCAAGGCAAATTTCATGGAATAAATTTTTATGATCACAAAAAAAAAAAAAAAAAAAAAAAAAAAAACAAGTATACTGTAATTCTGTTTGTGTTAATTTCTACAAACTTTCAAAAATCCGATTTTTTAATGTGATTCATAGATTGATTAATAGAGGTTACACTTACATGAACATAGTGGAGTCTAGATTTCAATATATTATTCTTTGCAGAAAATGAAAATAGTATTGCCCTTGCAAAACAATGAATTTTCCTAATTTTTCTTTTTCTTTTTCTTTTTTTTCATTTTTCATTTTTCTTTTTTTTTGTAATTAACAATTGTTGTTGTTTTGAGATTGTGATATTTTAATATTTTAGTTGAATTTTATTTGAAATAGTATTTTTAATAAAGCATTGTTAGTGCTGATAGCGGCCTGAAAAATCCAATTTACAAGTAGAATTAGATACCGAAGCTTGATTGAAGAGAGTTTGTAATGAAAATCTCTTTGTATAGGAATGAGACTATACATGTTAATTTTTTCTTAAATAATTATCTTAATACCACATAATCATATGTATTTCTCATGTATCCTTTTGATAAAGTTGGAAATAACTTACATAAAACTCTCTCTTCACCTATATTCCAAAAAAAATAAAAATAAATAAATTGACATCTATACATCATAAGATCCAATAAACACCACAAAACATTTGATGAATCTTTAATTCTTAAAACTTTATTGAATCAATTTTTACAAAAAACAAAAAACAAAAAGACAAAGGAGAAGATAAACACAAACTTGTAACTGGGGAATATCTTTTAAAATCATTTACACAATAATATAATAAATAATTAAATTAGTTACAAAGGCACAATTCATTCTAACATTACTAATATTATTAATTTAGAGAAACCAGATATATATATATATATATATATATATAGATATATATTACACCATCAACATGTTCCATACTATTTTTTTTTTATCAATATCAATCCTTTTAGCATCAAAAAAAATCACCCCATTCCAACAATACAAATCAAAGAGCTCTCAGCAATGTCACCAAAATTCAGCTCAATTTTAAAACCATTGGATTTTACACTCCTCAACGACCCTTCAAAATGTTTTGCGACTGATCGGATCAGAGAAAAGAATTAAAAAAAAGTAAAATGTTACAATCAGGAAAGTAAAAAATAAAGAGAAATCAATTGCGAAAAAGCAAAAAGGTGCAGACCAGCAGGGTGTGGGGGGGGGGGGGGGGGGGGGGACCCAGATACGCAGGAAAGGAACATTTGGACGATGTCGGAAGAAGCATCACGAGCTCGATCTGACGACGCTGGATCCTCTCCGATCGCAGCAATCCGAGGAAAGAGCCCGGCGCACCACATTTTCCTCGCTGGGTTTTGGTCCATTTGGCGTTTTCTTGTAGGGTTTCGCACCATTCTCCTTCTGTTTGGTTGGTTTTGCAAAGCATCAGCGCCCAAGGGAGGAAGTGCTGCGAGATGGGTCACTTGTACGCTCTAGACTTCGATGGCGTTTTGTGCGACAGCTGCGGCGAGAGCTCCCTCTCCGGTCTTAAGGTTACTCATCCAGAACCCCCGGCCGTTGCTTGCTACTCGCCCATTTGCGCCTTTGATCTGTGCCTCGTCTTAATTCCAGTATATATTGTGGGATAGGCCAGAGTGTGATGATTCATGTGTGGGAGTTTAGGATAGTGTAGAGGTACGCTTTGAAACTGTCTATAGCTGGCTGGGTTTTGGTTCGTGTCGAAGAATTTGAATGGAAACGAGGTTTCATTCTTGCGAAGGATTCTCTTGGTCATCTTTGGTTGAGTACATAGCTGGCAATTCTCGTAACAGAGGAGATTTTTTTTCAAGAGATTAAGTGCTGCTGCTGCTGCTGCTGCTGCAATGGTTAAGTAAGCCTAGATGCAATTGAGGGGTAGTGTTTTTCGTTCCATGGGCATGAATTCCGCAATGCTCTTTCACTGTGCTGGTATTAATTTTGTATGGCAGCTTCTCAGAACACTGACTCTATGGTTGATTTTCCCATCGTGCACAGTTTTTGTCTCTCTGAGTGAAATTTGTGTTATGGTTTGACACGCATTACACTCCGATTACGCAAGCATGAATCCGAAGAAGACTTTTCATGAAAAATTGTGTGTTACTAGAGAATTTAATTGAGAAATACATGGTACAGAAGTCTGGATCGAGCTTTTTTGGGGTCTCATTCTTTCATTTTCCTCATGCCTCGAAGCTCGTATTGGCCCTAGTTAGCGACACAATGCGTATGAAATTCACCTATCACCTGTAACACGTACGTCAATTTTTTTGCTATTTTGGTGATCAAAATTCTGGAGCCCTGATTTTCGGATGTGAATTGCTCTGCGCAGGCTGCTAAGATTCGATACCCAGAGCTTTTTACAGGCGTAGACACAGCTACGGAGAACTGGATTCTTGACAGCATGCGCACTGTATTGCCTCACCTTGTAGAATGATTGTGATAATTGTGTGGTCAACAGCATGGTGCTTCTTCCAAATCAATAGGTAGCCAATTGAGAGCTTTAGGTTTCAAGGAGTTGATTCAGGTGTATTCTGCCGAGTCGTTTTCTCATCCTAGTCGTTGCTGGTTCTGTAGCCGGACAAATTTAGTCTCTGGTTCAATTTGGAGTACAGATAGTCTCTGCGTGGGATTGAGGTGGTCTTGACTTCAACAGGGACTATTATTCATGGTGATGTGTTCGTTCTGAGCAGGTGCGGCCAGTAGTGGAGACTGGATATGAAAACATTTTGCTTGTGCGGCTGCTTTTAGAGATCAAGGTCCCTCACGTGCGGAAGTCTTCGGTATGTAGAGAGGAACTTGAACGCTGTAGAGTTCTGGATATTGTACTTTCTGCAGTTCATATCATTTATATCAGGAGAATTAGCTTGTCTCAAGGTTGGAACCTTGCATGAGACGGATGAATGACTTCACTATGATTATGTGTGCTATAATGCGGCCGGTTTGAATGAACAGGTGGCGGAGAAACTGTCTGTGGAAGACATTTTGGTAGATTGGGAGCATGGCATCAAACCAGTGGTGATGAAAGAGTGGAATGAGAGTAACAAAGAGGAGCTGGTGGAACTTTATGGGAAAGTGCGTGATGAGTGGATGGAGCATGATTTTCACGGCTGGATTGGTGCTAATAGGTATGTATTCATTCATCAACTCATATTTCTTGCAGGCATTCGGCGCCTAATTTGATTCTGCTGTAGTATATGATTCTTCACTTCCGCCTCTGATAAGCCCATTTGTTATCTGTCAATACAAACGATATTATGTTTGATTGTTGTGAAGCGAGAGTATTGTAATGTACGCATGTTTTTGTTCTGCGAGTGTTCGAAAATATTCCTCTCGGTGGAGTTTCCCTTTTTAACGAACGGTGTACAAAATGTTTGAATCTATTCGCACAGCTTCTACCTAGGGATAGCAGATGCTTTGAAATGGTCATCATCGACCGTGTTCATCGTGACAACAAAACAAGTAAGTTGCTTCTTTAGTTTCCTTCAACTCAATAAGATTCGAACATCTTTACACTGTTCTCGTTTACACTTTACAAAGCAATGCTCATGTATCATTTTTGCTCTCTTGACCAACCTTGGTTATATTCTAGGCTCGATTTACGTCAGCACTGCTTAAGGAATTAGCGGGTGTTGACTTCCCAATGGATCGCATATACGGCCTTGGTAGTGGGTAAGCTTCTCTTCGCAGTTCAGGGTTCATGGTATTGCTATTCCGCAATAATGATGTACTTCTTGACAAGACAAAGACCACTTAGAAGTTTTTCTTCAATTTTTCTTTTGTGATCCTTATTTTTCGTGGATGTTAACATTGACACTGCCCAGTCAGACCCAAAGTCGAGGTGTTAAAGCAGCTGCAAGAGCGAGTTGAACATGAAGGCTTGACCCTCCAGTATGTTCAATCTCTCATTTCCTGTCGTTAACTTATCTTTAGTGTCCTACTTGCTTCGTCTTGAGGTGGTTTATTCATTTCCAGATTACGTGTAACCATATGAGTTGATTAATATATGCATATGCCGTATCAACAGTTTTGTGGAAGACAGACTTGCCACGCTGCGCAACGTCATCAAGCTCCCAGCACTTGACAGTTGGAACTTGTACTTAGGTAATATCAAGATCACTGGATAGTGTATAATTCTCTAGTTTCTCTGGTTTCTCTACATGTTGGTCTAAGTATGATTCAGTGCCATTTAAGAGACTGTTCGCTTACTCTTGTCTTTTGTTGAAGTAATTTTATGTGATAGATATTTGCGAGAAACATGTTCCTTAATGCCTTTTCAACCTGAATTTTTCAACTGCATCATACCTCAACTTTGTGGACTGTCTTGCAGGTACCTGGGGTTACAACACCCGAAGTGAAAGAGAAGAAACGGTCAGCATTTCACGTATTCACGTCCTTGATCTTCCCCACTTCTGTGCACGATTGAAGTAAAAGTTCCTAGTGGCGTTAAGTCTTCAATTATCGGCGTCCGCTATGTCATTGTTAGGTGCCCTTACCAATTGATTGATTTAGATTTGCATTCGTTTTCATTTTATATGTGCAGATATCACATCATTTATATTAAAACGGTCGATTGAACTCGCATCATCTCGTGAGTGGTGCTCTGATTCTCCACAAGCTTGCAATGTCCAGGCTCAGCTACGAAGCCCTTGAATGTTATAAACGAATCTAGAAACTTGGACTACGGCAGCAACTGTCCTGAAAAAAACTTAGTTTTCGTTTCGATCGTTTCTAAATTCTAGCAATCGTGCTTAAATCCCCGTTGCAAGTTGCCTGGAATTATCTCACGAACAACTAGTAACAATTACGCATGAATGGAGGGAGCACCAACTTGGCCAGTAACAAAACAACCAATGAATCGTCGAGTCCTGAGCAAAAAACCTGCCTGCTTAGATGGTGATCGGCATTGGAGATGGCGACACAGCAGAGAACACCGCCCGCTTGTTTCTTCCCGTTAGCCAATGGAAGGAAAACCTCCTCGAGAATGAGCCTTGTTTGGAGATTGGGTCCGAGAACAACTTCCCCGACACATCCCTGCTACAGGATTTATGCATTTTCCCATCCTGGTCCACGCCCAGTGACGTCTCCGACAACGATCGCCGGCAGAGACTCACACTTCCCTTCTCTTCTGGCAATCGGCTCAGCGACGAGGACCGTTGCTTGAAATCACTCGAATCCTTCTGCAGCGTTACCAATACCACCGCAGATGGCGAAGAAGAAGAAGCCGAGGATGATGACGACGACGACGCACTGGAATGTCTGTACAAGTCTCTGCGTCCTTCCTCGTCTTCGATGACCTCGCCTCGCTCAATGTCGATGTCAATCCACTGGTCCCCGAAACCAGGCGAGTAGGAATCCTCCAGATAATCCCCCGGAGAGAACGGATTCGAGCTCACCGGTGCAAGAAGCTCCCGAACTCGTGCCAATGTCTGAGGATTGTAGAGCCCTCTGCTTGCCCAGAACAGCTCATCATTCGCGGGCGTGCCGCTCGCGCTCGCAAGCTCGGGGATGCTATCAGACAGAGCGCTTCGGTGCGTGGGCTTGGAGGGTGCCCAGTCCCGACCAGGGCGACCTGGATATGGCGTTGGCTCGATCATCAGGATCCAGCTGGAAGGATCCACAATGTACTCGTAGCTGCCCATGGAATACGACCTTGCGGCGCTTCCCATGAGCCTGCGAGAATCGGACTTCACCCTCGCCGCCACTCTCCCTAGCTCCACTGTAATATCTCGCTGCATGCCGTGTTCATCCGTGATGCGGATCGTGGGCGCTACGGGGCTCGGCGGCTCAACTTTGCACTCCTCGTGATGGGTTCCTTCGAGCTCCTGAATCTCTTGGATTTCGTTTAAGTCCGAGTTCTGGTCTTCCTCCATCACATCACTTATCCGGAAGCTGTTCTGGTAGCTGCCATGGATGCTTCCATGGAGGCTTCGAAACCGTCGTGACTCTTGGATGAGCTGCTCTTCCAGCGACAACCGCCGCTGGTGATCGTGGTGGATGAACCTGTAGGAATTCATTGCGTCGTCGGTCGAGACGCCACAAACCTCGAGCTGTCCGTGTCGGGAAGAGCCTGCAGCGCCATGAATGGGCTCCGGGAGGAGGCTTCGGCGACACACTGGACAAGTCGAGTTCGACAACAGCCATGTGTCGATGCAATCCAAGTGAAAGGCATGCTTGCACTTGGGCAATAACCGCAGTCGATCGTCGTCTCCGAACTCCGTCAAACAGACTGCGCAATCGGTGCTGTCCTTCAACCCTCGAATCGAGCCGAATGTGAACACGGGAAGCGTGTCGATGAAAGCTTGCTCCACGCCCGCATCGTGGAGATGGAACAAGTGCTGAAGCTGGCCATGGAGCGCGCTCACGAGCGGGCTGTGGTAGCGCGCGGGAGGGTGGCGCTGTCGCGCCATACACCGCGCGAGCAAATGGAGCAGCCCAGACAGAATGAAGACCAAACTAAGAATCGCGAGAATCACAATCACGCTCCCGTTAATGTGCGGGTCTCCGGAACCAGATGCTGTGGTGGTGGGTATTCGCCGTTGGTCTGCGGGAGGTAGGATGCTCGGGTACACGTTCTGATACGTGGGTGCACTCCGCGCGTGATTGAGCTCTCCTTCTGGTGGCACCGCTGGAATGAACACGAATGGAGACGTTCTCGTAGTGTCGGTGGGAGGAGCTGCGGAGGACATTCTCTTCACACTGCAGTGGCAAATGACGGTTTTGCAAAAAGTGTCAAGGCAGGGTCACTGATCTTGCTCCTCCAACATTATCCTGTGCATTGTGACGACCTTGCAGGTGCCCACGAAAGCATGGATCTTTGCTAATTTGTTGCACCGGGTTTCTAGAATAGGCTCTTTCCGAAAACTTTCCAGTTCAATGACGAGGTGGCTGAGGAGTACTTATTCGATCTCAACTGCCGCAGCAGCATCGTATCTGAGCAGCTTATAGGTCGTGGCCATCTTGGAGTTTCGGTAAGTGCTACTTCCATGGTGTCCACAAGGTTTCCCCTCCAGACCATGTCTGCGAGCTGTTCTGTCTAATTGGGTGCTTTGAAGGAGTTTCTCCGCTCGCAAGCTTGATATTCTTCCCCAGGATTCAATGAACCAAGAGATCACTATCATCCTCACTAAAGACTTGCGGTTCCAACTTACAACGCGACGCTAGTATCCAGCTGTAGAGACACCGACATTTCCTAGCCATCATGTGTCGTCACGCATCCATCTTCACACAATCTAGCCACCACGCCTCCGGTGCACCTAGCTGTAGCAGCTGTCTACCCTCGTACTACAGTTTTTGGCAGCTTGAAAACAGCTTCCCAACAACATACAATCAATTGGGAAGTCTCAACGGAGTGGGTTAATTTTACGCCACATCGCTGATCAGCGTTACAGCTCGGAGATATACTTTTGTGAGCAACTGCTGCAGCGCGTTCGGAGCTGATTCATCGATTCCTTCCTAACATGATCTGCAACAACAACATGCACGGTACTGGGGGATCGGTTGAAACGTCCCCATGCAACATCACTGCCAGGATTGCTACTGGATCAGATTAGTGGTGAGGAGCGATGGAGAAAGGGAGGGGGAAAAAAATTACAAAAAAAAACGGTGTAGTGAGGGGGCAGGCTTGGGGACGAAAGTCTCTGCTGGATTTCTGACTCGTGAGAGTGGGCGCAGCACTTGGGTGTCAGAGATGTCGCCAACACAACGGTGTCATGCGTTGCCAGCCGAACTGTGACGAGTCATGAGCCCCCACCCCATCCCTAACACTCCACCAGTATATGCCCCTGACTATGTTAGAGTTGTTCTCTCTCTCCAACACATGTTAAATAACAAAACACACCTCACTACCACCACCATCACCACCAAAACCCCGTCCCCCCCACCTCCTCCTCCTTTTCCTTTCCTTTCCTTTCCTTTCTTCCTTCTTTACCTGGTTTTAATATTATTTTTTACCTGATATTATTCGATTGAAACGCTACTTGTAGGAACTTTCAAGCTATGGAATGAGCCTGAAACCTACAGGAACTCGCCTTGCTGTTCAATAGAAATATTATACACTCACTGATGTCTTGTGACTGTCTGTCGTTTCTCATAAAGCAATTCCCTTGGTGGGATTCTCTTGGATAATCCTTACCTGTATCATGCTAAATCAGATTTGCCCGAGAACGCTTCAAGTCACTTGTTGTTTGTTGAATGGACGCGATGGTTCGGAAGTCAGCTTTCGAATGCGAGGCTGATGCCTGTGGTGGTCAACCTGGTTCACAATTCGGAAGGGAGATCTGCATAAATGAAAAGCTTAATGGATATTTGTTCACAATCTAGTGGCTAATGTGCATGACTGCTTCTGATAATCTCTGAGCCTTTTTTTCATTCAATGGAGGAATGAGTCCAGTACATCCAGGTGCCTCCAACGACCTAGCAAGGTCACCACTCCATTGATGTGAGATACGCTTTTTCTGCGCAATTTTCCATCTTAGGTGGCAGCACCCGAAACTGATAAGCATCCAAAACCACCGCCAGTTCACTCAAGAGATCCGTTTCCGACACATTGGAATATGGGTTTTCTTTTATTTTTGCAAGATTTTCCTCGAAGTGTTTTAAGAATAGAATAGGGAACCACTCTGCTGTTGAACTAGACTTGGGCGATGCAGTCTCATGGGGTGCTGTTGTCTCAGCAGCAAGAAGAACGTGGGTTTAGCTAACACTCTTAAGAAATGGGAGCTATTTGGAGATACAAGAAGAGTCTGCATTGAATGCCTGCTTGCTTAGTGTTTCAAGAGAGGCCCCATCAGCGGGTATAAAGATAAAATGGGTACGTGAGCAGGAGAGTTGGCGCTGGAGCGTGTGGCCATCTTTTCGGAAGGTAGTTTTCCACCAGCACCAGAGTGTGTGATGACCCCCCCATTTTGTGTTTTTTAAAAAAAAATCTTGTTTGTCCTTTGTAATCAAAACGTACTCAGGGATCATCACTCGCACATTGAGGTTACTCCAATAAAGAGAGAAGGGCTGCTCTGTTTTTGTGGGAGCATGTGTTGCTACAAAAGCACTCTGGACCTGTGAATCATTACCCATCCACTGCGGTTGTGTTTTGATCGTCGAACGCGAGTTGTGTGAGGTGACAACTGTTGCAGGCAAAAGAAACATCTCGGTTGTTAAATTATGAGTGTTTGTTGGTTTGTTGGTTTGTTTTGTTTTGTTTGTTTGTTTGTTTTTTGTTTTTTTTTTGTTTTTTTTTTTTTTGTTTTTTGCCTCCCTCTACAAGTACAGGACGAGGGCATGAGTTGGACGTGAAGTCACTTGGTTGGAGAGGAGCTTTGAAGCTGGCACTGCGGAAAATTAAATAGAAGCAGCCATGGATCACAATCACCATCACGAAGCTTGAACCCCAGCCAACGCATTACCTTCTTCTAACGTGAAAAGATGATGTGTTTCCTGGACACCAATTATGGGAGGTGGCAATGAATAGCCCTTATCAAATTCTCATGACGGCAACAGTCATGGAAGGAAATAATGAGCAGCCTTCAATGCTCTAACCCCTCAAGGACGAAATTTCACCTTTGCTGTTAAAAACACCCACTGCTGAAACCGATAGAGAAATTTTCGGTCTACAATGATGGACTTCATAGATTGAATGACTCAGCTTTCATTGAATTTCTAAGCCGCACGATGTGTAAAGACTAACGACCACGCCTAGAATACAATGCAGAACCCTAATCTAAAAACAAGAACAAAAGGCGACGACAAACGCATTAACCCAATCGTTTCTTCACAAGAAAACAGCATAGGATCAAGCCTAATAATGTCGATATTCCACCACTTGAGTAGGTTTTGAGACCTGGACTTTGCAATTGCATTCAGAAGGCTATCATAATTGTAAGCTACCACTGCTATAGCAAGTTCAACGACACAATCCAACATTATAAAGCCCTTCAGAGTGACCCTTTGCCAACTTTTCAGTTCACATCGTAACATAGAACTTTACATGGGAGTTCGCAAACTCGATTTCTTAAATCAGACGCGTGATGTGCACACTTAATTAACCCTCTATCGGATTCTAAGATCTGCAAAAACTTTTCAAATAATGTGGCACATCGTTGAATCAAATGATACACTTGTAGAACTGAATATACCCGAGCAGACCGAAACAAACCTTCACTGACGTGGTGTGACAGGACTTCACTTAGAAGTTCAATCACATACACCGACTTGAGAATGTCGAACACGTTTGGTTCAAATATCTCTTCGACTGGGCTGGTAGAATCTGTGCTCGGATTCATCTTGTTACCACTCATTTCCTTGGAACTCGTCTCATGAGGGATAAAAAAGTTCGTCCAGGTTAGTTCGAGGTTGGTCTAACGAGATGAAACTCAAGTCTAAGAACTACTGAATCTCTTCGCTCGAAAGGCTCGATGATTGTGACACACACTCTTAATAGCTCTAAGTCATCAGCATCTCCTACGATGGCTGATGGTTGAATCTGAAGGTGTGCCACTGGCTGATCTCCTATCAAAGATCAGTAGTTCGTTTCAAAACATCTTCAAACTCCGTCTGTCGTTGCAGAGGCAGAAGCACAAACTTCTCCGCAGAGATGCTCACTCTAAGAAGAAGGTTGGGAAAAATTAGAAAAACCTATTTTGTAATTCAAACACGTCTGCAACGTAAGTAAAGAGTGAATTTTAGCTCGCTTGTTTCAGATGATGTTGAAAGATAAGTCGTCTGTAGCTTTTATCTGTAGCATTCACAGTTTCTCGGATGATTCCTCGTTTCGTCTTCATCGTTAGACTTCAAACCAACCGTAGAATGTTGTGTGCTACCTTCAAGAAATCACCAACATCTGCCTGATAGTTAGTTTTTTGTTGTTTAGGGTTGAAACTGTCCATCTTCTTCTCACTGGCTCGAAGGACTTCACATGTTTCTGTCAGTTTTGCAATGGAGCATACGTGTTCTGCTCAGTTAAATGTAAAAGCCATCACAGGCAACTGATACCCACCGATTCAGTAGCTTTTCTAGGACAAATCCCTGCTGAATTACCTTACCATGTCCCAGGCGAGAGGGGCACAGCCTGCATCACCCAGATGAGAAATGTATTCGATCAAAGTGTTTCACCGATCTTCAGCCAACTGTAAATTACCACACCCAAAGGCTACAAAAGCACACGTAGCCGCTTGCGAATGAGCCTCTTACATTCAAACACCAGCACGAACCCATCATGCACAGAAACTAATGCACAGCAATATAATTCTTCACCATCTAACCACGACAAAAAAATGTTGCACCAAACATATGAAAAAGTGAGGATACGATGAGGCACACCCGTAGTAAGTCCGAAGTTCAATGTCTAGAAGCAGCAGGTTTCCAGGATGAGGATCTGCATGACGGGAACCAGATTCTAAGACCTGCACAAAGGTGCACTTTCGAGCTGTGCTGTCATCGTATCCTGAGCCATGAACGGCCAATTACAGAACCTCTCGCCTTGCGAAATGTGTAATCAAGATATTCGCCTGATTCGGTGACATTGGGTATAATTTCATCTCTACAGAGACTCGATTTTGCATTCCTAATCTGCACTCCAGAGCCAACAGTATAAACCAGCAGTGCTTCCACAATGTTTAACCGCCAAATCCCTCAGAAGCACATCCTCTGCATCAGAGAATCATATAGATACTTCTCGAATCCTTAGTTTCTTTTCTACATGCGATGCTAGTTCAAAAATCGAGTCGCGTTGATGAATCAATCCCGCACTTCTCTTTGTCGTCACCCTACCACGTCACCACATTAGTTAGTATTACCCTAATAGAAAATTAGTCTTATTCGAGACTCATGTCGACAATGTATGTACCTTGTTCTGCTAGTACATCTCTCTCTTCCGATGTTTATCACACAACGTATCTATTTTGTGTCAACCATGCAACATGGTATCAGAGCATGGTTTGCTCTTAGGTAGTTAGTGATAAGTAAAGAAGGTGAGCACTGCTTCCTTACTCTAGAGATACAGTGAAGAAACAAATAAAGAATAGAAAGCACATACTGTTGACAAGAAGGTAGTGACAATGGCTATTGCTAGAGAGAAAACTTTGAATTGCAAGGTATGAGAGTCAAATAAATTGATAGATCCAAAGAATTACAATGTTTGGAGCCTAAAATAAAAGAAATATTGAAATGAGAGAACTTGTGGTAACTAGTAGATTCAAAGAGTCTACGGATTCAATTTCCTACAACCAAAGTAGTAGTTTTGTACACAAAAGTTAAGTTAAACTAAGGGACTCAAAACAAAGAGCACAATCAAGCATAACTATGTTAGTAGAAGACAACTTGAGAGGTGCAATATTTCAATACAATGATCATGCTGAAGCTTGAAATATGCACTGTAGGATATTCAAAGCTCAAGATCAATAATAGATCTTATTGCTTACTAGAAAGTTAAACAATATGATAATGAAAAAAAGAAGAAATATCAGCACATATCTTATCAATGTAATGAACGTTCAAAATCAACTACGTGCTTTTAAAGAGATAATCAATGACAAAACACTTGTCAACATCTTGCTCAATGGTTTATCTAAAAGCTATGAAATAGTCATCCAAGGAATCATATTGTTATGATGCACTTAATTTGAGTATATCAAAGATATTTGGAAGATAATTAACTTTGCTTGTAAGAAGAGAGGAATATAATGCTAAAATATTTACAAATTTGAATGGGATTTAAAATAGGAGATTGTTAGCTTGAATGAATTATTCAAGCTTTGAAGATATTGTCTTTTAGGATAGATATCTAA